GAAGAGAGGAAAGAAAGGAAAGAAAGAAAGGAAGGAAGAAAAAGAAAGGAAGGAAAGAAAAGAAAGAAAGAAAAGAAAAAGAAAGAAAGAAATTTAAAATAATAATACAAATACTCTCCCTGATTTTTGAGGGTATTAAAAGTTAGTGGAGGAGACATACAACTAAATTAATTAGTCTTCAGGTTAGTTTTTTTTTTTTTTTTTTTTTTTTTTTGCATTACGCGGGCCTCTCTCACTGTTGTGGCCTCTCCTGTTGCGGAGCAACAGGCTCCGGACGTGCAGGCCCAGCAGCCATGGCTCACGGACCCAGCTGCTCCACGGCATGTGGGATCTTCCCGGACCGGGGCACGAACCCGTGTCCCCTGCATCGGCAGGCGGACTCTCAACCACTGCGCCACCAGGGAAGCCCTTCAGGTTGGTTTTGATGGCACCTTTACTATGTCTCCATAGTATCTTTAGGATGTTATACATCTGTTTTTCTAAACAGTATACATGGGATTATATAACCACTTGAAACAACAATATCTAAAATATAAAACCTGTCAGTTTATTCTCTTCACAATGCAGACTGTTTACACACTTCAGTAACAACAAACCTTCCCAAATCTCTTTTGTGATCTTTCACAATTCTGTGCCTTTGCTTGGAATGTCTTAACCTAGATCTACCAACTTCTACATATGTTCTCAAAAACAGTTAAACCTTATCTCTTCTGAAAACCTTTATCAAACTCACCCAAGAATCTATGCTCTTCCCTCTGTGATATTTTTAAATATTTATTAACATGAAATTCACTAACATAAAATTCACCATTTTAATGCATTTAATTCAGTTGAGTTTTAGTATATTTACAAGGCTGTACAACCACCAACCACTAAATTCCAGAACATTTCCCTCATTCCAAAAAGAAATCCTGTGCCTCCCAATTCCTCTATCTCTCTTTTTTTTAACATTCATTTATTTTATTATTTATTTATTTGGCTGTGTCAGATCCTAGTTGTGGCATGTGGGACCTTTTTAGTTGCAGCATGTGGAATCTTTAGTTGCAGCATGTGGGATCTAGTTCCCTGACTAGGGATCAAACCCGGGCCCCCAGCACTGGGAGTGTGGAGTCTTAGCCACTGGACCACCAGGGAAGTCCCCTCTATCTCTTGGCAAGCATGTACTTTCTGTCTCTATGGATTTGCCTATTCTACACATTTTATATAAATAGAATCATGTGGCCTTTGCGTTTGGCTTCTTTGACTTAGCATGTTTTCAAGATTCATCCATGTTGTAGCATGGATCATCACTTCATTCCTTTTTATGGCTGAATGATATTCCATTATATAGACATACAACATTGTGTTTATCCATTCATCAGTTGATGGGCTCATCTATTACTGCATATACTATACTAAAGCTGAGTAAATTTAGGCATGTACAAGTCTGATTTTCCTCACTAGATAGCAAGCTCTTAGAGAATAAATTTTTGTTTACTTTTATTAGGTATCCTCAGTGCTGAACACAGTAACTAGTGAGACATAAATGGCTAAATAATAATTTCTGTATACTGAGCAACTTACTCTAATTCTCAACACTGAACAGAACTGCTATTCCCATTCTAAAGATGAAACATTTCAGAGAGGCAAAAAGAGATGCCCAATATCTCACAGACTGTAAGTGGTAAAAAAGGATTAAACCGACCAAAGACTACTTTTAATGCCACAACACAGTGAGCACAAGATCATTTCTAGAGCCTAAGAGATTAAGACAAAGCTATGTAGAAATCAGGAGAAAAGAATTTTGATTTGCCGCTTAAGACATTATGATGTTAGAGAAATCAGCCTCTGTGAGCCTTAGTTTGCTCAACTATAAAATGAGTATAATATCTGCCTCATATCAGGGCTGTTGAAAAGTCTCAGCCTTCACTTCCAGTTCAACACTTATTTCACTGTCATGCTGCCTTCCAGATACAAAAATAATTTACCCCCTGACCTAGTGAAAAGCGTAAATAATGCGTCTTAAAAGCTTAATTACACCTAAGTTTCTCCTACTCTGAGAACAGATTTTATAGAAACATCCTAAACTTACCTCTTCTTTCTTCTTAGGGTCTGACATGGGATTCCGGAAGAGAGGAGAGTCTCCAAAAGGTGAGTATGTCAGACTATTGATGTGCTGTTGTAGAACAGCCTGCTGGGCAGCAGAAGCATTTGGATCTGTCAAAGCTTTTTAAAAAAAAGAAAAGAAAAAGCAAGATGTCAGTCCAAGGATCCAGTGCCTTAAATCAAGAGAACTTGAGATTCTCTTCAAAATGTTCAGACTCACTCAGTGGCATTACTGGTTGAGAGCAAAGGAGCAAACTGTGAAGAAAATCAACAATCAAATAATCTAAAAGGTCAAAGATATGTGGAGCACTTCATAAGAGACAACACACATAAAATTTTACTTAGGTGTTCATTATTGCCAACAATCAAAGAAATGTAAACCTAAACAACCGTGAAGAAATTTTATATCTACCTCATTATCTGCCATTATCAATGGCATAGCTATATAAAAAGGGATCAGTCTGACTTCTAGAAACACTGCAAATTGGTTTAATGTCTAAAAGAAACAATATGACAGTACACAGAGCAAGTAATGTTTTTATATTTTTTAACCTAATAATTTTAATCATAAAAATCTAACCCAAGGACTTAATCAAACTAGAAGGAAAATAGAGACATATTTGTAAGTGTTCACTGAACATTATCTGTAATGGTCAAGACTTGGAAACAACCTACGTCCAACATTAACAGTTGTAAAAATCATGATTCATCAACATGGTGGATTAAGTAGTTGTTAAAAATGACAATGTGGAAATAAAGTATCTTTGATTTAATTTAATAAGTAAAAAATTCCAGAATAAAAAATATTAAGTATACTGAGAATATAGAGGAAGAGGGTAGCAAATGAAAATGGCTGTTAAGGCATCCTTATATCTACAATTTGCATTTGATATTCATATTACATTTAAGTAAAAATTGAAAGGAAGAAAAGATCACCCCATTTTCTTTCAAAGTGTAAGAACAGGACTTCCCTGGTGGCGTAGTGGTTAAGAATCCACCTGCCAATGCAAGGGACATGGGTTTGAGCCCTGGTCCAGGAAGATCCCACATGCCACGGAGCAACTAAGCCCATGAGCCACAACTACTGAGCCTGTGCTCTAGAGCCCGCAAGCCACAACTACTGAGTCTGTGTGCTGTGACTACTGAAGCCTGCGCGCCTAGAGCCCATGCTCTGCAACAAGAGAAGCCACCACAATGAGAACCCGTGCACAGCAAAGAAGAGTAGCCCCCACTCGCTGCAACCAGAGAAAGACTGTGCACAGCAACGAAGACCCAACACAGCCAAAAAAATAAAGAAAGAAATAAAATAAAGAAATAGAGAAAAAAAAAGTGTAAGAACAAACGTCATCAGACAGGAACAATGATCTACAATTGTACACGGTAAAAAGAAAACAGCAACAAAAAAATGTGCACTGTACCCTGACTGATGAAGAGACCTCTTCACAAGATAAATATTTCAAAAAAAAATACTGGTAAAAAAATCAAATCAGGGCTTCCCTGGTGGCACAGTGGTTGAGAGTTCGCCTGCCGATGCAGGGACATGGGTTCATGCCCCGGTCCGGGAAGATCCCGCATGCTGCAGAGCGGCTGGGATAATCCACAGAAAAGAAGTGCCACAAACAAAAAATTTTGAAAAATTTAATACAATGGAGCAGAGTGGGGGGTGGGGGAGTGGAGAGACAATAGCAGCATCAACAACAAGCTCAAAACAGTTAAAATAAAATTAATGAAAAGGGGTAGATCCACTGTAGTCAAATTAAGCATTCTTAAAACTGGATGTATTCACTAAATACTAAAACACTGTATGTTGATATTTTAGGAGAGGGTACAAATTTGCTCAGGATTGTGAAACCCAGAGGAGATGTCAATTTAATGATCATATAGTAAAGCATCTGTATTCAGAAAGTTCCTAAATCCAATTTAAGACTACTGGTGAGAAAAAAATACAGAAAAGTAGCCACCCAATAACATAATGTTGTTCTGTGGACTATTCAATAAGACTAAAAAAACCCTGGATATTTTTAATGAACTCTGATATTCACTAGTCAGTTTGTTACCTGACAGCCAATTATACATTAAAAAAACACTGATCAGGGATTTCCCTGGTGGTCCAGTGGTAAAGAATCTGCCTTCTAATGCAGGGGATGCAGGTTCGCTCCCTGGGCGGGGAACCAAGATCCCACATGCCGCAGGGCAACTAAGCCTGCGCGCCACAACTACTGAGCTCGCGTGCCTCAACCAGAGAGCCTGCGTGCCGCAAACCACTGAGCCCACACGCCCTGGAGCCCACACACCACAACTAGAGAGGGAAAAACCCGCACGCCACAACTAGAGAGAAGCCCCCGCGCAGCAATGAAAGATCCCGTGAGCCGCAACTAAGACCCAACACAGCCAAATAAATAAATAAATTAAAAGAAAAACACTGACCAGCACTAGCTGATCCCACCATATAACAAGTATAGGTCACCCCTCCTGGGTATGCTCAAATAAAAACTTCCTCAACAAATTCAAACATACGTAATTAGGAAAGTGTGTGAGGATGTCTTTATTTCTGTATGTTTAAATATGAAATTTTCTCTGTTAACTGAATTATTTCAAATAAAATACAGAAAAGAGAGCTGATAAGTTAGCAAAAATAAGAGAATAAGCAAGCATAAGCGCTAGTTAAGCTATCATTTACTGGTGTTATATTCAGTTCTGGTCATAATAATTTGAAAACATACTGAAAAACCATATCATAACCAAATGATTAAAGAGATAGAAAAAAGGTATAAAAATCAAGTCTTCTGAGACCAGAAGAAACTGATACTTTATCTGAAAGAAAGGCAATAGGTTACCACAAAGAAATTGTAGGAGACTGATTTTGCTTGGCTTTAGGAGATAGAAGTAGAACCACCGGGTGGAAATTCTATAAAGGCAGGTTTTGGTTTCTAATCAACCTGAACAAAACAATGGACTGGACTAACCTGTAAGAAAGCCACCATAGCCAAGGCTTTTAAGTAACGGACTCCCACAAGCTCTAAAGCACCTTATAACTAAGACCCTGTGATGCAAAGATGTACATTCTAAATCAATACAACTACATTTAAATGAGCAGAAACACTACTGTATATAACTGTAATATCAAATTCATGTCAGGAACTTTTTATTGGCTTTGGGAAAAGATGGATTATTAAAAACCATTCAAAAGCTATCTATGTAAATAGCAGGTTATGGTATTTATGCTACCTCCTACTAAAATCAAAACTAAGGAAAACAAATAAAATTTGAATATAATTTTATGATAAAACTGATTCTAATTTTCACAGAGAAATTAGAGTTCTAATTCACCTCTGCTAGCTCCAAAGACCTAATTTAAAGCTATGGATAAAACAAATTAAAATATCTACACAGCCCACAATGACAAAGAATAGGAAGGTAGTAAATGAACAGATGAGAAAATATAACAAATGCCTACAAGAAAGAAGTGGACAAGCAGGAGAGAGTAAACCATACCTTGGAGTACACTCAAAGGGGATTACAGCCAAAAGGAGGGACTATCTGCCTGAAGCACAGAAAGCTGAGAGATTCAAGAAGACTAAATTTGATGAACTGAGACTGTGGAAGGAGAGAAGAACCAATGCAAAGCATATATACACAACAACTACTATACCCTGTCATCCTCCTAATCCCTGATGCTCAACAGATAAGTCAAAATATCAGAGAGAGTTCCTCTGATGAAATCAAGTTAACAAGGGCAACAAGGGGACCTGTATCATCCCAGAGCTAAGAATGTGATATTCTAACATTTAGAGGACCCTTGGCTAATAGCTGGTCCCTGGGCTACTTATCAAATGAAATCTACTGATGAAAATGCTCTACCCAGATACACAAGTTGCCAGTGAGATTTTTATTATTTTATTCTTAAATATGACTGGAAAGCATCACTGAGTATTAAAGAGTAGGCTCAAAACAAAAATAAAACAAAAAAACACAAAAATAATCCTGAAGATTTAAGGAACAGAAGAATTCTAAAAAAATTTTAATGCCAATTAAATTCAGAGTTTCAAGAAAAAAACTGCATCTAAGAACTGGATGCTTAAAAAAAGGAACTTCCAGAGAATGAGAAAGACAATAAAAAAAAAATCCAAAAGGATGATTCAGAAGACAATTAAAAAAAAAACTTCTAGAAAGTAGAAACATGGGTGAAAAAAATCAAATGTTAAGACAGAAAAGGTCTAGGAATTCCCTGGTGGTCCAGTGGTTAGGACTCGGCGCTCTCACTGCTGGGGCCCAGGTTCAATCCCTGGTCAGGGAACTAAGATGCTGCATGCCTCATGGCGTGGCCGAAAAAGAAAAAAGACAGAAAAGGTCTAAGCAAATCACTGAAATTTCAGAACAAAGGGACAATCCTAAATGGTTGTGAGCCTGGGGGGAACAAGCCTCAAGAATCAGAAAGGCATTAGACTTCTTATCAGAGATGGTTAATCCAAGAAGTATCGTCAAAGTTCTGAGGGTGAATTATTTTTACACCAGAATTCCATAACATTAAAGTGTGTGGAACAAATGAAGATGTTTTCAGAACTGTAAGTAGTCAAAGTTTACCTTTCATATCCATGTTACTTGAAGACACATTCCAGAAAATTTAGGAAATAGAGGAAAACCCTATATCCAGGACATAGCAGTCCCCACTGAGTAGACTTGAAGGGAATATACTAGAGCAATGCTGAAGGCCTAGGGAGTAATCAGAGTTCATACTGCTACAGGAGGACAGAGAGATCAAAGAATGAGGTATCCAGGGTAAAAGAATTCTAATACTACCCTTAAGAATTTGGACTAATGTTAAGAAGGTGATAAGGGCAGGTAAGTAATGCAAGGGAAAAAAATTAGAAGTTCCAGGACAAAGAAAAAGCTGTATGAGAAAAGATTACTTGGTTAAGTAGCAATATTTTCACAGTTATAATAAAATGCTATGCTCATTTGAAACTTTTATTCTTTCCCCAAAGAAAAAAAGACAATAATTATTAGGAGAGAGTACTTTATCAACTTTATCAATACAAAAATATAAAAAGGGCAAAGAAATGACAGAAAAAGAAGGGTAAGGAAGAGCACTATTAGCCTTACTTGACCAAGGGGACTCAAGAAATACTATCTCCTAGTTGACAGAATAAGAAAAAGTATGTAAGGACATGGCTTAAATTTGCAAAGTATGTAAGGACATGGAAATTTGCATGGCTTCTCAAAATGTGAAACATGGATCATGATAGTACAGGAGATGAATTTAATGGTACAGAGACTCACTCCTTCCTTCTCTCCTTCCTTCCTTCCATCCATCCATCCATCCATCCATCCATCCATCCATCCATCCATCTCAGTTACTCTATATCTGCCAGGTGACATCAGTTTTTTATTTTTGGTAAAACATAATTTTCTTTAAAAAAAAGATATTTAAGTTACAAAGTAAGTTAATTTTAAATAAGAAATAATAACAAAGGTGGCAGGCAGATATAACAAAAACTAGGAAGGGGTATTCAAACAAATGAAGTATGAAAAACACTTTAATAGATAGAACTAAACTTGTGGGGGACTTCCCTGGTGGCACAGTCGATAAGACTCTGCGCTCCCAATGCAGGGGGCCTGGGTTCGATCCCTGGTCAGGGAACTAGAGCTCACATGCATGCTGCAACTAAGAGTTTGCATGCCACAACTAAGGAGCCAGCAAGCCGCAATTAAGGAGCCCATGAGCCGCAACTAAGACCTGGCACAACCAAATAAGTAATTAATTTTTTAAAAATGCCTCAAATCCAGCTACAACAACAACAAAAAAACCCCTAACCTTAGGGAATTTAGTAAACAGATATATTGGGAGAAGTGAATAAAAAACAGAGCTGATAACTGAGCTAAATTCTCATCTACCATTAACAAGTTAAATACTGATATATGTAGACTTAAGCAAAACACAGCAATATAAGCACATCATTTAGAGATATAAACTTACTTACATGCCAGATGAATTAAAAGCTGTAACAAAAGTGGTTTCTTTGGGGGAGTAAACCTAGGAGTGGGGAAGCGGGGAAGGCCAGGACCTATTATAAGTGCTTCTGCACTACATGATTGTTTAATGACCTATGTGTATATACCGCTTTGGTAGGGACGGGATAGGGTGGGGTGGAAAATCAAGTCAGCAAGTTAAGTATTAGCAAGAAATAAAATGAGTAAAGGCTTCTAAAGTGACTGACACTTACCTACTGGGGCCTGGGGGGCTCCAAAGCCCAAAGTGGCTGTCGTAGTATTAAATCCAGGGGCCCCAAAGGCTCCTGTACCAAGAGGCCCTCCGATCTTAGGTTGGTTGTTCCCAAATAAAGATGCTTGTCCAGCACCAAGAGCTATGGAGACAAGAGGAAAGAAAAAGCGCCACAGAAGATCCTTTGAATGTTACGCCAGAAGTCAGTTACTTAAAAACGTAATACATTTGGAAACTTCATAATAACCACTCATTTCAACAAAAAATCTAATACAGTAAATGCTAACTATATGCCAAGAACTGTTGAGTACATCGTATATATCATAGGCAAAATACTTAACCTCTCTGTGCTTCAGTTTCCTCAACTATAACATGAGATAATAATACATAGCTTAGATATTTATCCTACGATTAAAATAAACACATATTAAGCATTGAAGAGGTCTGGTAGATACTAACATTCATTAAATATTAACTACTATCATCTCATTTAACCTTCACAAGCCTGAAGCAGGAACTATCGTCCCTATTTTACAGAAGAGAAAATGGAGGCTTTAATAATTAGCTCAATGTCACAAATGTAGTAAGTGGTGAAACCAGAGTTCACACCTCGATGCATCTGACAATACAACCAGGGCTCTTAATTGCTACTCTATAGTAAAACAGATTTCTAAAGAATTTCAAAATTGTCAATTTTCCTTAAATTTCAATATCTGCAAATCAAATACTCAATTGAACCAATTAAAACGTCACCTTTTTGACTAACATGCAGGTTATAGAAAACCAAATCCAATATATCTTCTTTGAAGAGCAAAAAGTAACACTTTCAAGTATACCGTCTCATGAAAACTATTTCCGACAATTTTTTTTTTGTTTTATAAAAAGCTGAATGCCTTGTGATGAGGTTACTAAACAGATTCAAGTTTCAGCCTAAATCTGTGGATGGAATAAGAACTTATCTTCACCAGGGAGAAGGCCGCTGAAGAAACCTGTAATGTTTTAAAGCTTAATGAATCTTGCTTATGGACCGTGCTGTTGGCAATGATTTTTAAAGTGTAAAGTGGGAAGAATTTAGTTTTTTTAGGATAAGTTATTGGCATAAATTAAAAACATTTTTCCATCCCTCCCCCACCCCAAAGAAAAAGTTAATGGCAATTTGGAAGATCTGAAGTTTTTTTTTTTTTTTGTGGTATGCGGGCCTCTCACTGCTGTGGCCTCTCCCGTTGCGGAGCACAGGCTCCGGATGTGTAGGCTCAGCGGCCATGGCTCACGGATCCAGCCGTTCCGCGGCATGTGGGATCTTCCTGGACCGGGGCACGAACCCGTGTGTCCCTTGCATCGGCAGGCAGACTCTCAACCACTGCACCACCAGGGAAGCCCTGAAGTTCTTTTTAACATACAAATGTTTCTTGACAGAGATATGGTTTACCAGGAAAATCACTTCAAACATATAATACTTGGAGGTCAAAAATATCGAATGGAAACTGTCTTGAGATTGCAACCCCAAAAAAAGGATAGGAAGTTTACACTCAGAGAATGCATACAATATAAATTAATGAGGATGACTCCTAAATGAACAAAGCATTCCTTAACTGTCCAACTCTCACTAATAATAATAAGATAACAATATAGCAATGGGATTATTTCACCTTAAAAAACCCAGCTTTGAAACAGGGAATAAGACTTCTTTTAAAGTTCCAACCCATTAGAAACTGGTGAAAATTCCAAGAAAAACTAAAATTATATTACTCCCTTTTTTTTTTTTGTGGTACGTGGGCCTCTCACTGTTGTGGCCTCTCCCGTTGTGGAGCACAGGCTCCGGACGCACAGGCTCAGTGGCCATAGCTCAAGGGCCCAGCCGCTCCGCGGCATGCGGGATCCTCCCGGACCGGGGCACGAACCCGCGTCCCCTGCATCGGCAGGCGGACTCTCAACCACTGCGCCACCAGGGAAGCCCATATTACTCCTTTTTGAAAAAATTTGTTTATTTATTTTTGGCTACATGGGTCTTCATTGCTGCGCATGGACTTTCTCTAGTTGTGGCAAGTGGGGGCTACTCTTCGTTGCGGTGCGCGGGCTTCTCATTACAGTGGCTCCTCTTGTCGTGGAGCACAGGCTCTAGGCACGCGGGCTTCAGTAGTTGTGGCACGTGGGCTCTAGAGCACAGGCTCCATAGTTGTGGCGCACGGGCTTAGCTGCTCCGCGGCATGTGGGATCTTCCCAGACCAGGGCTCGAACCCATGTCCCCTGCGTTGGCAGGCGGATTCTTAACCACTGCACCCCCAGGGAAGTCCCTATATTACTCCCTTAAAGAACATGGTTTACAGTAAAAATTTCAGGATTCTTCTTTTTTCTCCCAGAGAACAAAACCTCCTTACCACCCCTAAACAAAAGGCTTAGATGAAACCTGAATATATAAAATGGATAAAAATTTCTGTTCTGGATGGGTGTGTATTTGCATTAGCCCTGAAGGAAGAATCATGAAACAGTCTAAAAATCACTATATTTCAATAACCTACAAAATAATAAAAACATGTATTTTATCCAGATCAGTCTTATATTATGTACAAATGGCTTTTTATACTTAGTGAAAGGACTTACACAAGTTGAGGGACATTCTGATGTATAATAATGTCAATTTATGAATTGTGTTATATTTACAGGTAGTTGTAGGAGTCATAAGGAAGATATACTAGTGGCACCGTGGTAACAGTGGTCCTAAAAACTCTAAGGATGCTCAAAGAATAAATAAAAATGGTTATACTTTATTGAGATTTTCTAATAAATGTTAGAATTTAATTTTATCTATGGTACCTATTAGCTTTGGGTAGGTTTTTCTGTGTATATCTTAGTGTAACAAACTTTACTAGATGTACCCTTAAACTTATGGCTTCATGGAAAATTTTAAGAACTAAAACTTCTTAGTATTGTTACTAAGTAACTACCAAGAAAATGGCATACTATTGATAGTGCTAATGACAGTTAATACCTGTGTGAAACAAGAAACTGATGCACCCATGATTTAATCATACACCAAAAGATAATATAAAACATTTTACACTAAGATTGGTCACTTAAATCTAGGTGTACAAAAAATTTATGTATTTGTACACTTAAGGTTTCTACAGTCGGCTACTCATGAAGTACCCAAAGGCCTATGTTACATGAAAATGTACTTCTGTTGAGGTATAAGTTTGAATCTCTATCATTCAAAACAAGAAGCTATCTACATAGGAATACCCACTTAGCTAATGACCCCCTAAAACACAGTCCAAAGCTACAATGTTATCCTAATTGTGATACCATGAAATGCAGAATTCATTAATGTGGGTATTTATATCTGATAGTCTCCAGACACATTCCTCTCAGAGCCAAAAGTCTGCTTTAGCAGACGTGACCACCAAAGAATTTCAATAGTGTGTACTCAGTGATTCACAATTCTCATTTCCCTACATGATCTATTGCTGCTAAGGTGGGGGTGTAAAATTCTTTATTAATTTTATTTGGCTTTTAGTTTATATGGGCAAAGCATGAATTAGGATTATATAACAGCAGTGAAAATGAGATTCATCGTCTGTGAGGTACAACTGTTCAAGGAAAACCGAATATATTCAAATAAATAAAGAGGTTGAGGTATTACATTATTGTAGAACAGAAGACAACAGCATCAGGAAAAAAGTTATAGATGACTTTATAATCTTAGACTACAGAAATAAAGCGTTGCTAATCATAATCTGCAAGACCCAGAAGCCAAAGAGGAGAGAATGACAACTTTGACCACATAAAAATAAAACTTGTACATTAAGATATCACAAACAAAATTAAATGATAAACAAAGACTGAGTGGAAATATCTGGTAACAGACATTAGAGCAGCATCTTATCCCAGCTTAGGTTTATGGTTCATAAGCTGTCTAGCATCAAACTACCTTGAAAAAGACCACACCAAAGTTAATTTTCCTTCTGGGATTAGAAGAGAACATGATGTCAGATGTTATATTCTGCTTAAGTTTAAGGATCACATTGTACAAAAAACTATAGCTTTTTAGTTTTTATTTCTTGCAAAATATATGTAGTAGAATTTGAGTAAGCTCAAAGGCTCAAGAAGTTTACCATACAACCCAAAAGAGTTAATATCCACAATATATAAAACGTTCTCAAAAATAAAGAAACAATGATCAACAATGATTATGAATAGAGAACTGAAAGATTCAAACGTCCAGTAAACATACACAAGGGTATCCTTCACCGGTAATCAGTGAAGTGTAAATCAGAACATACCAACTTCCACTATCAGACACACAAAGATGAAGAAGCCCAACAATATGGAAAGGGTATGAAAAAATGGGCACTTTTATAAAATATGAGCAAAAATGCAAACTGGCATTCTTTTTGGAAGGCAAATTAAAAATTGGCAAGACTGACCAAAATTCAAAATATGTGTATCTTCTGACATAACACATTAAGTACTGAAAATCCCAGGCACACCAGGACTATCAGAGGACAAACATTTTGTACAAAAGGAACAGACAGCCTCTAAGATAAATGTGCCAGCATTTTAAAATCTGGTAAAGCATATGGGAATGTTTCTAAATCCATTTGTGAAAATGAAAATCTAGGCCTCTTATTTCCATGTATATGATCAAACAGAGGTCTTAAGTTGCAGCAATTAGATTTAGTTGTATCACTTCCTAAATCTTATGGTACAGTTCCTTACCTGTTCCAAATCCTGCACCAAGCCCGGCTCCCAGAGTTCCAGGTCCTGGTTTACTTCCAAAAATACTATTCCCACTGGTATTTGTGCCAAACCCTAGAAGGACAAAAGAATGAGTGGACTGTACATTAACACAACTCTCAATGTCCTGTACAAGGGAATTTCAAACAAAGCAGTCTGACCCTAAGTTTTGCATCCCTTCATTTTTTGGTATTTAGAAATCCTAAATGGTAGGCTAATTTAATTTTTAAGTTTAAGTAAGTATAAACAGATCCCACAGTCTTCCTATTTACTTAATTATATTTTAGACTTGAAATATCAATTCAATATAGGATAATACCCAATATTAAAGCAAAGTGATTGTGCTTGAGCTTGGGGAACATTCCCTTCGTAATACTCAAAGCCTCCATTCTATGTTTCATGTTTAATTAGTAGAAGAAAAATTAATCCCCCCAAACTTTCACTAAAAAATAAGACAGTCAACAAAGACACTTCACTGAACCTAAAGGTTCTTGCTAAGAGAAGATTACCTATAAAAATCTCTACAGCAGCTTTTGTTTTGAACAGATGGACCTTGTATGAATAGTAATGTGTGGCTGATCACACATGAGGAGCTTTAATGGAGTCAGACTCAATCAGCTCATAGAAGCATTCGAGGACTCAGCTAGCTGACGTTAAAAAGAGAAGATAATCTATGAATAACCTTTCTTGAATTGAATTGTTTCATTATCGGAGATGATAGAGAGTTGAACAAACCATCCTCTTTCACTATGACCCAACATTTAGAGAAAATCCTGTGATTCCCCTCTAAAATCCACAAGTCTCCCCACAAAGACACCTACACGTCACATTACTGCTATTATTTCTCTTTTGTTCAGATGTGTGCACAGTTTCTGTACTCCTTTTGGAGCTAAATATCAACAAATGATAATGAACATATCATTAATCTCTTTTGATAAGAGGAAAAAAACCCCAATCACTGGCCAGCAAATCCTATTTGTGGTACACCTGAAGTCTTTTAAAAAGGTATCATGGAGGTGAACAAGTTCAACATAACAGAATAAAGAAAGTGTCTTGGAATATATGTCAGTGTCACCAACTAAGATTATACTTTGTCATGCCAATATTTGAATTTATATCTGAATGAAAAATGTAAAGAACAAAAGTTAAAGAATTATACAGTTTGAAAACATATTTCTAATGTCATTTAAAAATCTAAGCAAGTAACCTGACTTACTTTCAATACATTTAATTCATGCATTAAGTCTTTTCTTCAATTTTTCTAACAGCTATGGCCACAAAAATGGAGTACTGCCCACTCAAGCACAATCAATTTTCTTTAAAGAAAAAAACCCAAAAACCCCAGAAAATGTACTTGGAGATGTTGTCTTTCTGAGTTAAAATTTAACCAAAAAGGATCTTCCAACCCCATAAACAGCAGAAAACAAGATACTAGTGAACTACCTCAAACCCACAGGAGGGAAGTAAGTCCCAACTTACACTGTTTATACCACACATTTCCACAGATTCTTACTGACAAAAAAGTTTATCAACTCTGTTAGTTCAAAACAACTTTAAAGTAAAATTAAGAACAATTAATTAATTAACAGTCAATAATTTATGACAAAGGAGCCAAGAATATACAATGGAGAATGGACAGTCTTCAATAAATGGTGCTAGGAAAACTGGACAACCACATGTAAAAGAATAAAACTGGACCATTATCTTACAACATAAACAAAATGGATTACAGACTTGAATATAAGATCTAAAATCATAAAACTCCTAGAAGGAAACATAGGGGTAAGCGAGAAAAAAAACTTTCTATCTATATATGATGACAGACGCTACTTAGACTTATTGTGGTAATCATCTCACAATATATACAAATATTGGACCATTACACTGTATTGGGTGGGCCAAAAAGTGCCTTCAGTTTTTAAAGTAAAAATAAAAGATACATTTTTCATTTTCACCAAGAACTTTACTGAACAACATATTCACCCTTTTGTTCCACTACCTTCTGACATTTTTCAGCCCACTTCATAATTCTATCTTCCCAAAACTTTTTATCTTTTTGAGCAAAGAACTGTTCCAGGTGCCTTTTACAGTCTTCCAGGGAATTGAAATTTTTTTCCATTAATAGAATTTTGTAAAGACCGAAATAAATGGAAATCTGAAGGTACAATGTCTGGTGAATATGGCGGATGAATCAGAACTTCCCAGCCAAGCTTTAACAGTTTTTGCTTGGTCATCAAAGAAACACGTGGTCTTGCGTTATCCTGATGGAAGATGATGCATTTTCTGTTGACTAATTCTGGACGCTTTTCATCAAGTGCCGCTTTCAGTTGGTCTAACTGGGAGCAGTGCTTATTGGAATTAATTGTTTGGTTTTCCGGAAGGAGCTCATAATAGAGGATTCTCTTCCAATCCCACCATATATACAACATCACCTTCTCTGGGTGAAGACCGGCCTTTGGTGTGGTTGGTGGTGGTTCATTTCGCTTGCCCCACGATCTCTTCCGTTCCACATTGTTGTACAGTATCCACTTTTCATCGCCCATCACAATTTGTTTTAAAAACACAATGTTTTCATTACGTTTCAGTAGAGAATCGCATGTGGAAATACGGTCAAGAAGGTTTCTTTCGTTTAACTTATGTGGAACTCAAACATCAAAGCAATGAACATAACCAAGCTGGTGCAAGTGATTTTCAAAGCTCGATTTTGGTATTTTGAGTATGTCGGCTGTCTCCCACGTGGTTTAACGTTTACTGTTCTCAATTATTGTTCCAATTTGATTGCTATCAACTTCAACTGGTCTGCCCAACCGTGGAGCACTGTCCAGTGAGAAATCTCCAGCATGAAACTTTGCGAACCACTTTTGACACATTTTTCAGTCACAGCACCTTCTCCATACGCTGCACAAATCTTTTTGTGCGTTTCAGTTGCGTTTTTACCTTTCTTGAAATAATAAAGCATAATATGCCGAAAATGTTGTTCTCTTCCATCTTCAATATTAAAATGGCTACACAAAAATTCACCAATTTTGATAAGTCTTTTTTCAAATGCATGCTGTCACATACAATCTAACAAAATTGTTTCAAATGAAGTTAGACAACTAAGTGCTATTAGAGCCATCTTACGAAAAACGAACTTTTTGGCCCACCCAATACATCTGAAATATAATGTTACATGTCAATTATATCTCAATTTTAAAAAAAACGCTTAAAATATCAGATGTCTATGTACACAAAGAGCTAAACTGTCCCCTTAACCATGTAGCATGAGGAACCAATAATTTATTACCAAGTACCATCTTATCAATACCCAAAAGATCTTCAACCTCTTTAAACTGTTGCTCACAAGTGCTGACATCCTGCTTGTAATTTCTCTCCTGAAACAATTCTATTCATTCACTTAACCTTAAACTAGTCCCTGTTAGGAATAATTACTAAGAAAATGAACTGATGACTCTAAAGAATGACTTAAGGATGCGGCAACATCAATTGTAGATGAACCTTTTCACTCTGTGGATTAATCACCATCATAATGAAACATAATCCCATACTGGGTAACATGCAACCAACAATGATATGATACTACAAATCTTTGTGTAACCTTATTCCATTTCCAGATTTGTTATATGACTTATTTCCAAATCAGAAGATCATCTCTGCCCACAACACCAAAGTTGATAGCTTCCCAAGACAACAGGAACATCAAAGAAAGTCTTAGATCTGGATCCCTCTGGGGTGGTAATGGAATGACAAGTTCACCCAAGAGTAAAACAAAACTTGCAACCCCTACTTGTATAGGGAATCTTTCCTCTCAGGGCCCCACTTATTCATTAATAAACTTTTAGTGAGCACCTAGTCTATGCCAGGTACTAGGTCAACATTAAGGATTTAAAAAAAAAAAAGGACAATTCAAATTCAGCACATAAGTAGTCAGGCATATCAAATAAAGATGAGAGTTTTCATTTTCAAATCAATAGCCTACATAAGCACCTTGTCAGATAGAAAATATATTTAATTCTGAACGTGAAGTATGCTATCAAAAAACATGCATTTTCTTTTTTCTCCTTTTTTTTTTTTTTTTTTGCGGTATGCGGGCCTCCCACTGTTGTGGCCCCTCCCATCGTGGAGCACAGGCTCTGGACGCACAGGCTCAGCGGCCATGGCTCACGGGCCCAGCCCCTCCGTGGCACGTGGGATCTTCCCGGACCGGGGCGCAAACCTGTGTCCCCCTGCATCGGCAGGCGGACTCTCAACCACTGCGCCACCAGGGAAGCCCAGAAGATAATTTTTAAGAGGAAAAAGGTCTACAAAGTCTCTCTGGGGAAGAGGGAGTGACAGTGATTTAAAAAAAAAAAAAAAAAAAAAAGGCTGAAAAACACTGATTTAACCCTTAAGTATCTTTCCCATCTTACTTCATAGATAAGAAACAAATACACAAAATTTGATATCCATGCTAACCAAGTCTACTGCCTCAAAACCATTCTTTCATCGAGCACAGCGAAAAAGAATTACAGGTAGAATGATAGAATGATAATCATTACTAGGAATGAATGAACCCAACAAAAGGGGTTATAAAACTCAAATCAAAACATTAATTTAGGAATTGGTACCTGACAAGGACCTATCTATCTCCTTCACATAGTTCGTATTTCCATGAACACATATAACTTTCCAATGGATGCTTAATGTAGCCTCTTTCTCCAGTACACGATCATTAAAAAACTCACTGAAGGGCTTCCCTGGTGGCACAGCAGTTAAGAATCCGCCTGCCAATGCAGGGGACACGGGTTCGAGCCCTGGTCCAGGAAGATCCCACATGCCACGGAGCAACTAAGCCCGTGCGCCACAACTACTGAGCCTGTGCTCTAGAGCCCGTGAGCCTCAACTACTGAAGCCCGCACGCCTAGAGACCATGCTCCACAACATGAGAAGCCACCACAACAAGAAGCCCACGCACCGCAAGGAAGAGTAGCCCCCGCTTGCCACAACTAGAGAAAGCCCGTGCGCAGCAACAAAGACCCAACTCAGCCAAAAATAAATTAAATAAATTTATTAAAAAAAAAAAAAACTCACTGAAAAACTGTAACTGCTGACTTATGGCAAATGGCCATATGTTTGTACTCATCTCCCACTAGATATCCAGAACCTAATGTTGCATCTGGCACATGAAATCCTTAAAACAAATATTTCAACCACTATTTCCCTTGGTAATGAAATGAACTTTTCATATATGATTTATCTCAAAATACGTTGAATCTGTTTGAAAACTTAATTAGGTAGTTATAAAAGACAGTTAAAATAATAGAAATAATGTTTCTATTAAACGAATTTAAAATTTTCCAGCATATCTCTGGAAAGTAGTATAAGGTTTGTTTTTCTGTTATTCAATCTTACATATATTTTCCAAATTTCTTCCAATGAACATGTATTCAAAAATACACACAGCTATAGGAAAACTAATGAACAGTCCCCCAAATCAGAGAGGCTTCAGCTTCCAATGAGAATCATTAAATATCAAAAAAACAACAAAACACAAAACAACAGAAAGTTAAAAAAAGAATCATCTAATCTCATCTGTTTACTACTTCCCTGCTTGAAACCTGGCCTAACAGAATGTGTTATCTCAAGCAAATGTGTTTCACTTATTGTTTCTCAATTATTGGTGAGGTAATCCAAAGAAAATGATTCCTTATTTTGAAAAAAATATACCTCCATTAGAGAACCAACATTCTGCAGAGTACTGCTACTGCATGTGCTGAATGCCCCATTTTATCCAAAGCAGGGAGTCAAGAGAATATAAATTAGTTAAGGCAATTTACATACATCTCTTCCAGGCACCTCAACCCAAGTCCTTGATTTCAAACCTTTCCCTCTGGAACCTCGTATCAAGCCACAGCTTACCTGAGAATTTTAAAATATTCCCAATAATATGAATCAGGAGAATGTGTGGTATAGTCAGTATAACTTTAAGAGAGTCAAACCTGCTTTTTATATGTACCAAAATTGGAAGTGTTTGTATTGGTTCCTAAAGTCAGGGTTGGTTTGTTACCAAAGAGCCCGCCACTGGTTGTACCAAACGAAGGAGCACTGGTTGTGCTGGTTCCAAATGTAGTAAGCTTGTTATTGCCAAACAGGGTCTAAAAAGAACACAACACAGGAAAATATTAAGTAGTATAAAGATACACTCCAAACAGGAAACAGAGGTTACCTTAGGTACACTGGATTGGGTGTGTGGTAAGGGAGAGAAGATATCATAATTTTTATAAAAAAGGTATAAAGAAGGATGAATAACTATCAGAAAAACATACTAATCTGAGCAAGATTAACAAGACAGAATGCTCCTGGCTTGAGAAGTTAATGGTAACACTTCATCAAACATAATATTTCAGTGAGACAAAGAAAACAACAACAAGTCAATCAAGTATTTTTTACCTGGTAACAGAAACGTTATCATGTATTTAACGTGTCAGTAGAAAGAGTTACAGTAAAAAGTTTAAACATGCTACAACATGGATGAAACTTCAAAACATTATGCTAAGTAAAAGAAGTCAGTCACAAAAGATGTGACACCATTTATATGAAATGTCCAGAATGGGTAAATCCATAGACAGCAGGCCTGAAGTGACTTGGGGGAAATGAGAAGTGACTATTAATGGGGATGACGTTTCTTTTTAGGGTGACAAATATGTTCTAAAATTGACTATGGTGATAGCTGCACAATCTGTGAATATGCTAAAAACCGCTGAATTTTAAACTTTAAAAGGGTGAATTACATGGCAAATGGATTATAGCCCAATAAAGTTGTTAAAAAATAACTTTCTGAAGCATTAGATAATTTTCTCAATTTCTCACCTCAAATAAGAATAGATTTCAATCTCCATGAAAACAACCACATGATTTGGGGACTTTTCCTTTTTTTTTTTAAAACTGAAGTTCAAAGCTTGTTATAATGCGTACATAATACAGACATATAGTTTCTCTAAGTGGTATTTACTATTATTTTTTAGGTCAAGTGTATTCCTATATAGTAAGTTTCTACTTAAATGACTTAACAAGGAAAAAAATTCAGTTAAGCCTCCAGTGGCATGAAGACCTTCAGAATACCAACAATGTTAACAACTTGATCACCACCAAAAATACTTAATTAACAAATACGATACTAACTTATCACCCAAAAGAGAAGTTAGAAATAGGAATTTAAAATTACCTGATTTGGGGCTTCCCTGGTGGCACAGTGGTTAAGAATCTGACTGCCAGTGCAGGGGATGTGGGTTTGAGCCCTGGGCCAGGAAGATCCTACATGCCGCGAAGCAACTAAGCCCATGCGCCACAACTACTGAGCCTGCGCTTTAGAGCCCACAAGCCACAACTACTGAAGCCTGCGTGCCACAACTACTGACGCCCGCATGCCTAGAGCCCGTGCTCCGCAACGAGAAGCCACCACAATGAGAAGCCTGTGTACCACAACGAAGAGTAGCCCCCTCTCCTCGCAAATAGAGAAAGCCCGCGTGCAGCGACGAAAGCCCAACACAGCCATAAATAAAATAAATAAATATTTATTTATTTATTTAAAAAAGAAAAAAAAAACCTGGTTTTAAGAGCAAAAGCACCTCAACTTAAACTCAACAATTTAACCAACTGGAGTGAAATTTTACTAAAAGAAGTAAACTCCACATAAGTATTGAAACAAACAAGTTTTAAAAAGAACTTACTTTTTGAAAATAAACCTATCATAAGTTGCCTATTTTTAAGTTACCAAATAGCTTTCAGTTACTATCAGTATCAAATCATACACTATAACCCAAAAAAATACTTGCAGACTTCTTTTTTTTTTTAATTCAGCATTCTTTTTTCTTATTCTTTTTTTTTTTTTTTTTTTTGCAGTATGCGGGCCTCTCACTGTTGTGGCCTCTCCCGTTGCGGAGCACAGGCTCCGGACGCGCAGGCTCAGCGGCCATGGCTCACGGGCCCAGCTGCTCCGCAGCATGTGGGATCCTCCCGGACTGGGGCACGAACCCGCGTCCCCTGCATCGGCAGGCGGACTCTCAACCACTGCGCCAACAGGGAAGCCCTATTTTTCTTTTTTTTAAATTTATTTATTTATTTTTTTGGCTGTGTTGCGTGGCTTATAGGATCTTAGTTCCTTGATCAGGGCTTGAACCCAGGCCCATAGCAGTGAAAGCACTGAGTATTAACCACTGGACCACCAGGGAATTCCCAAAAGACAGATTTTTCTTAGAAATTCCTTTAACAGATTTATACACATCTTCAAGTTACAGTCAACTGCAAAAACCTACCGAACCAACAGCACCAAATCCAGTACTGGTCTGCCCAAAGAGACCTGTTCCCGTTCCAAATGCTGTCCCAGTGCTGGTGTTTGTAGCTGTCCCAAAAAGACCTCCCGGCTGTGAGGCTTGGGTTACTCCAAATAAACCCTGTAAAAGGTAGTCTAGATTACAAGAAAACCTACAATAGTCAGTTGTCTTTAAAAGTCTTAGATTATTAATAATAGTTGCCATTTTTTTAAGTTTATGTGACAGACATTATGCTAAATACATAGAACATTTCTTTTCTTCACAACAACCCTGAAACGCAGGGCCGTTTTCCAAAAGAAAATAAGGCTCAGAGCAGTAAAAAACTTGCCCAAGATGTCACAGCCCCTAAGTGGCTGGACCAGAAATTCGTATCTGTATCTAAGCCTGATGAGCAACACAGTCCTGGACAGCTATATAAAGACTTTATACTAACTCTTGTGCTCTAAGAGATAACAGGGTTGCCACACTGAAAACAAAATGCCATGACAGGGTGCTTCATTTTCAGAGTTATGCCAAAAGAACGTATTAATACTGAGCTGGGGAATGGACTTTGAATCAAATAACTGAAAATAATCAGCTGAAAATAATAAAATTAATCTGAACAAAGGCAGTAGTGTAATGTTAAGTCTTCATTTGTTATGATAAACTACACAATTTCAAATAAGCAAAGTTTGTATCTTCCAATGTTTAAAGATTTTTTTATGCATTAGTCAACAAAAGAAAAATATTGCATTAATGGGCTATAGCTGAACTGAGAATTCAACGTAGTGTTTTAAACAGCTTTATTGAGATATAATTCACATACCATAAAGTTTACCTATTTAAAGTGGACTGTTCAGTGGGGTTTTTCTATGTTCAGTGCTATGCAACCATCCCCACTCTAAATTCAGAAAATTCTGATCACTCTAAAAAGAAACCCTGGACCCATTAGCAGTCACTCCCCATTCCTAGGCAACCAACCACTAACCTACTTTCTGTTCCCATAGATTTGTCCATTCTGAACATTTCATATGAGTGGAATCATACAAAAGGTGGTCTTTTGTGAATAGCTTCTTTCACTTAGCATGTTTAAAAGGTCTCTCCATGTTGTAGCATGTATAATACTTCATTCCATTTTAATGGCTGAATAATAGTCCACTGTATGGATATACCGCATTCATTTATCCCTTCATCACTGATGGACATTTGGGTTGTTTCCACCTTTTAGTTATTATGATCAGTTGTATACAAGTTCTTGTGTTTTCATTTCTCTTGGGGGAAATACCAAGGTGTGCAACTGCTGGGTCATATGTTAACTCTACATTTAGCATTTTGAGGCATTGCCAAATTTTTCCAAAGTGGCTGCACTATTTTATATTCCAAACAGCAATGCATGAGGGTTCCAATTTCTCCAAATTCTTGAAAACATTCATTATCATTGTCTCTCTTTTTGTTTACAGACTTCCTAGTGTGGATATGAAGTGATATCTCACTGTGGTTTTGAAATGCAGTTTCCCTGATGCCTACTGACATTGAGTACCTTTTCATGTGCTTATTAGTCATTTATCTTCTTTGGAAAAATGTCTATTCAAGTATTCGGCCCATTTTTTAATGGTCTGTCTTATTATTCAATTATAAGAGTTCTTAATTGTTTGGACACAAGTCCTTTGTGAGATATATGACTTGAAAATATTTTCTCCAATTTGCAGGTATTCTTTTTGCTTTCTTGATGGTATCCCCCTTTGACCCACCAAAGTTTTTAACTTTGAAGAAGCCCTATCTATTTTTCCCTTTTGCTGCTTTTGCTTTTGGTGTACTATCTAACAGATCATTGCCTAACTCCTTTTCTTCTATGAGTTTTATAGTTTTAGCTCTTACATTTGATCCATTTTAAGCTTTTATAGTTACCACAATTGTATAAAGAAAAGGTCCAACCTCGTGCTTTTGCACGTGGAAAACCATTATCCCAGCACTCTTTGTTGAAAGATTCTCTCCGTAGTGAACTGTTTTAGTGCTCTTGTTGAATATCAATTAACCATGAGGAACTTGTTTCTGGACTCGCAATTCCAGTCCCGATTTTATATGTCTAGCCTTATGCCAGTATTACACTGTCTTCATCACTTCATCACTCCAGCTTTCTTTTCTTTCAAGGCTGTTCTGGCTATTCTGAGCTCCTTTCTACTCCTTTTTGAGTGTTTTTATTATGGAAGGTTGTCAAATGTCTTTTCTCTACCTACTGAGGTGACAATATGGCTTTTGTACTTTATTCTACTTTATGGTTTATTACATTAATATGAAAATATGTTGAACCAACCTTCCTAGGATAAATCCCACTTGGTCACAGTGTATAATCCTTTTTATATGTTGTTGAATTCAATTTGCCAGTATTTTGAAGATTTTTGCGTCTACCTGTACTTCTTATTTTTTAATCAGGCAAAGTATCTCTAATTTTAAAACCAGGTATATCCCAAGGATTCTAATCAATAAATCATACCTCAAATTTACCTTTAATTTTATACTTCCCTAAAAGAGTCCCTAGAAATAAACTGCTCATGACTATAAGGACTTTCTCTTCTACTATCTGGACAGAAGTAGCAATTATCCAACATGGCTCTAAGTTTTAGTTCTCTCTTATTTATTTTAATGAACTAAACTTCTTTGCCTGATTCCACTTAAGGGAATGAGCTGAAAGAACCTTCTGAAATAGAGCCAGTAGTTTATAAATATTTTCTCCTATACTCTACAGAATGCCTGGAGTCAATGTCCTAAGGTATAGCTTCAGGACGGCCAATTCTAGCACACTAAGCAGCGATTAGTGATGAGAAAATATGCCCAGAAAGGATAAGTGACTTGTTAAATAGCCCCTCATTAAATACGGAGTAGAGCCTGGACTAGAATCTATGTCTTAATTATTCAAAGATTTTGCTCTCTTCCCTTTACTACACATACGTATCGTCAACCCTTAAGAACTGCAGTAGAGATAGAACTTGTTAATTTGACATGATTAGAAGCCTCATTACTTAGCTCTACAAATAAGACCTGTTTCCTTACCATGGTGTTGGTGCTTGGCTGTCCTAGTGTGTTGGTATTACCAAAGGAAAAGCCAGTGGTCTGGGTGGTTATGGCCTGGGCAAATGGTTTGCTGAAGAGGCTGGTAGCCTGCTGATTCTGTTGGCCAAAAAGACCACCTGGATTTGTTCCAAATCCAGTCGTACCTTTCAGGAAAAGAAAAGGAAAAATAAATGGTGGGGGGAAATGCCAAACCTCACATTATCTAGTTACTTCAATAGTCTATGTTATTGATTATATATCTAAATTACCCTACATTCATTCATTACTCAAACTGGATAACCACTTCATTTTCCACCTTTCTTCACATAACTCCAGATTTGGTTCAGACTCGACTTTCTACAAAAATACTCTGACCCCAAGAACCTAGGCTGGGCTAAGTAATCTTCCTTTGTGACCCCACAGCTTTTTGTCTATTTTACAAGGTAACACACTACACTTAAAGTCTATGTGTGTATTTTTAACCTTGTTAGACTAAGTTTTTCTTCAGAACAGGGGCTTTCTCTTTATAGCAATATATCCAGCATAGGGTGTGACACAATAACAATACTTAATAATGGCTAAACTAAATCACAGAATACCAAAACTGAAAAGAATGTAAATGCCATTTAAACGTGTATTCATTTGTGTATTTGTGTATGTAACTCTACAGAAGGCTACCCCCCAAAATGTAACTTTTGCTTGTTTCTACAGAAGCAAACTGGTGGCTAAGGGGGAAAAAAAGAAAAGACCTTTGGATATGTACATTTTTGTATATCATGAACTTTAAATCATATGTGTATATTACTTTTGCAAAAGTAACACTTTTATAAAGTAATTTAGTAATCATCCTAGACTCCCCTCTTTCACATCCCACATAAATCAATCCATCAATAAATCCCATCGGTTCTACATTCAAACTGGCTCCAGAATCTGACACTTTTACCATACCATAGCACCATTCTCTACAAGCCACATCATCTCTCATGTGGATAGGGCAACAGCTTTTCTAACTGATTTGTTTCCACCCTTGCCCCCATACAATCTACTCTTAATACAGCAGCCTTCAGAATGATCCTTTATTCATAATCACATGACTTATCTAAACCTTCTAATGGCTTCCTGACTCAAATAAAAATTCAGATCTTGACACTGGCCCACAAAGGCCTATAAAATATATTCCCCTAGGGCTTCCCTGGTGGCGCAGTGGTTGAGAGTCCGCCTGCTGATGCAGGAGACATGGGTTCGTGCCCTGGTTCGGGAGGATCCCACATGCCGCGGAGCGGCTAGGCCCGTGAGCCGTGGCCGCTGAGCCTGCATGTCCGGAGCCTGTGCTCCGCAACGGGAGAGGCCACAGCAGTGAGAGGCCCGCGTACCGCAAAAAAAAAAAAAAAAAAATATATATATATATATATATTCCCCTATATCCTCCAGTACTTCCCCTTGTCCTCTCCCCTTTGGCAAAAACTCAGGATTTCTAGACTTCTAGTTTCCTCCAGCTGGAATATTCTTTCCCTAGAAATCTGTATAGCTTTATGCTTCACCTTCTTCAGATAGGTCACTGATCAAACACCACCTATCAGTGAAGCCCTTCTTAATCATCTGCCCTTAGTACTATATTTCTCCCCACCCCCCACAAACATACCAGGCATTTCCTATTCCTCTAGCAACCCTGAATCATTTTTCTCCATAGCACTTAAGCACAAAAATGACAATTATGTTTTACTTTCAGTTGTCTGTCCCTCCTCAATATGGCCCAACATGATGTCAAGTGCTTACTAGTTCCAAAGCCTGTTTTGTTCTGACCATAGGCAAAGCCTGAATTTGTAGTGGAAGAACTGAAGAGTCCTGTTGCACTGGAGGTGGCTGGAGAAGACCCAAACAAGCCAGTCGTGGTACCTGCTCCCACCTGGTTCTGCGGGCCTTTCCGGTTGGCCTGATAATCCTCTAAACGAAGTTCCTAGAGTAAGTGAAAACATATTCCAAATTAATATGCAGCCAAAAAAATTATTTAGGAGGCTAAATAATACTTGCATTTAGCATTCAATTTCTATGTTCACATAGGAACCATGATTAAAAAAACAGAAAACTATGGAATGGTTAACTTACTATCATTACAGAAAAACACTTTCAACAGTGTATAATGGACATTAAAATCCATACCATAATTACCATAAAACTACAGGCCAAAGGACCAACCACATCTTAATTTCAATTTTCTTCTATAGACAATAATACTTTCATTTAGACAATAATGTTGTCTACTCCCACCCCAAATGTAAAGATTAGCTGATTAAAAGATGGATGATTCTGAGGAATTCAGAAAACTCAGGAAAAGAAGAGATAAAGTTTAACAGTTTTGTCTCACAAGTAAGGGTGTTTCTGTATACTCCAAAGAAGCAAGCACAGTCTGGGATGTAAAAGAAGCAACAGCAACAACCAGAGATGACAGTCAAAATGTACAATGAACTATCACACAACAGTGATAATGAACAACCTATAACTTCGCACAACATGGATAAACATCACAATGCTGAAAGACAGATTTAAGAGTACGTAATATAAGATCCCATCTATGTAAAATTCAAAAATGGGCAAAATATGGGCAGTCAGGATAGTGGTTACCTTTGGAAGGGGAGGATTGTGACTCTGGGGGCAGGGCCCAAAGGGGACATCAGGGATGCAGATAATGATTTACTTATTGTGTTGCACACTTATGACTTTGCATGAGTTTACTAAAAACACATGCATGTGCACACACTGCCCAGTGTAGTATGAGCAACAGCCAATCAGAATAGACTATCAGTAAAACTATATCCGTACATACAAGCTGAATATCATCCTTGCCTAAAACAACAAATATCTATAAATAATGTATTAATGAAAAAAAAATTTGGTTAATTTTTTACATAAATCCTAAAAAATAATCAAAAACATTTTAAAAAGCTGCTTCCCAATAGAATCAAAAGGTTAGGGTGATACTCTGTAATGCATTTTACTGACCTCTAGGGACTTGCTTTCATATTCTTTCATAGCAGTAATACACTGGTGCTTGGTACTGATGTTAGTGCTAACTCCAGCTTTAACCATAGTATCTGTACCAGTTGGAGGCTGCAAAGGAAGATAAAGGCAAATCTGAAAGTCTAAAGAAAACGTTTACGTTCAAGCTTTATAACCCTATTCTCCCAGACACAATTCTTCAACGACTGAACTCTATAACCAGTCCCCTAGGTTCTTTACTTAACGGGACAGTTTTAAGAGTGCTTGATTAAATACACTGCATTCTTGATCTCTCCCTGTATCAAGGTTATCTGCATAAGTCAATCTCAGAAACAGTTATCAAAAACCCAGGGATTAATCCCATAACGAAGCCATTCAATTATCTACTAAAATACACTTAATAATATATGCATAAGGGAAGCTTTATCCAATTTACCTAATATATACATTTAAACCTCTATTTCTGAGTTCTAATTCCTACTCTGCTCTGAAGTGTCTGCTTTGTGACTATTGTTGCATTTATGAAATATGGAAGCCTGGTTTTTCCCCCTATAAGCTTATGAGGCAAAAGGCACTAGGTAACTAAAGATTCCTACTTAGGGTCTTCCCTGGTGGCGCAGTGGTTGAGAGTCCACCTGCCGATGCAGGGGACACGGGTTCGTGCCCCGGTCCGGGAAGATCCCACATGCCGCGGAGCAGCTGGGCCCGTGAGCCATGGCTGCTGAGCCTGCGCGTCTGGAGCCTGTGCTCCGCAACGGGAGAGGCTACAACAGTGAGAGGCCCGCATGTCGAAAAAAAAAAAAAAAAAAAAAAGATTCCTACTTGTATTGTTAGTTTTCTCAATTACTGTACTTTCTAAGAGACAACACACAGTATTTTCCTCTATCATTTATATTTAACTTTATTTTAAATTCAGGATTCTAAATTCAGTATTATGAATTCACCACCCTGCCTAAGAAATTCTTCATTTTCTGGAAGAATTTTAACAAGTTTTGCCAATCCCTATATTTGCCAGAGATTTCCATTAGACTAACTGCACTGCCAGCCTATCCTAATTATCTCCAAAACAATCACATCAAGTAGTATCTTACATCAAGTGGTATTCCATGTATTTTCATAAACAAAATCTTTCATTCTAACCTTCTATCCAACTTCTCTCAAAAAAGCTGAAGAAAACACAAAACTCATTTGCTTCATTTTGCCATTTCACCAACAAAAGTTTTATTTCTAATTGGCACACAGAAACTGATGAGTTATTCCATACAGCTCCTTAAGGAGGCCCTATTTTCAATGATTTTTACAGTTTGCCCCATCATTCCTTCTTTACTTCTGTAAAGAATGGTTGACGATTCAGAGGCCAATTATGAACACAGTAAATACAAGCTCAGCCTGATATTTCTTTTTTTCTGGCTGCACCACAAGGCTTGTGGAATCTCAGTTCCCTAACCAGGGATTGAACCCAGGCCACGACAGTGAAAGCCTGGAATCCTAACCACTAAGCCATCAGGGAACTGTAATCAACTACTACTGTAATCAACCTTGTGAATACAAATTTAATTGGTTTGAGCATAATTCAAATATAAATTATAATCTAGATTTATGTTTCATGACTCTTCCTGTCTACTATACAACTATTCCCAGATATTGTTCTTAACACATATTTCAGGAAGAGTGAGACTAAGCTATGCATAACTGGAAAGAGAAGAAATGTTATGATTCCTCCTACAAAAAAACATACAGGAGACAAAAATATTCCACAAAGATCGAAAGACAATACTTACGTTAAACTTAATAGTAGTCCCAGTAGGAGCAGCTGTAAAACTACTTGGCCCAAAGAGGGAGCCAGATGTGCTACCAAAAGGATTAGAGGTGGTATTTGTAGTTCCAAAAAGTCCCCCGCTGCTGGTACTTGTTCCAAAATCTATAAATTAGAAAGAAAAATGGGATGGTAACAGTAAAGAATTTAAGAATCTGTAAGCTATCTTGGAATTGGCCTGTGGCATTAGAGCAGCATTACTTCCAAATCCTCAGGTTTTCTATCTTTCCAATCTCCCTAGCAAGTACCTTCAAACAGATATTTCATACAGACACACACAGTTCTAGGCTCACAACTTTGACATGAAACAAAATCTGAATCTTTAGTCAGCTAAGTGTCTGTAAAGTCCTTGGGCACACTTAAACAACAAGTTAGAAGAAACAGTATTCTGTTTCATTAAATATTTTATCTTATTTCTCTTGGTAAGACCAGATGCTCAATGAACTTGTCTTTCTGACAATGCCTTACCGCAACAGACCTGAACAAGAGTCACAGTATATTTTATTTACATATATTATTACAAACACCCACATATAACCAAAAAGTTTAAAACAAATGGTCCCATTAGGGTAACCACACATAGGTTAATATAAAATTTCACCCAGAAAAATAATTTAGAAAAATTAGTAGGCATGTTGGTCATTTATAGAAATAAATCTACTTTCCCAAATAGCTAAGTTTAAAAAAAATTACATAACAGAGAATTTAACTGTTATCTAAGGAATGTATTCTTCAAAATATAAGATACTACTTCTAAAGAAATTACACATATGGTACCAGAAATAGCAGTAAGCAATACAAAGTTATTTGCCAATATTTAATATTAAGTGACATCCTAATACCAAGTTAAGAGGAATGTGATTTCTCACTGGCAGTCAAACTATTTCTTTTCTAAAAACATGTCCTAATATATAAAGTAAATAGGCATATCTCTTTTGAATTAGTATTTTAGATTGCATTTTATATTGTCATGGTTAAATATTTCAACATCCCCTCAAACAACTTTCCCTTTGTAAAATACTGATAGCTGGCTAAATTACTTATTCTACCATACCAGTGCTGGGAATGGCATCAACTCACAGGGCACACCTGTGCAACTAGCAGTGTTTCTGCCTCAAAGAACTGTGTGGTGAAGTATCCCTGGGCCACATTTAGACTTAAAGAGAAAGAAGCCATCAATTAAAAACACCTGCCATGGCTAAGGAATGGAGGAGTAACCATGTCACATCCAGTACTTACCATTCCTGCTTCGGTCTCTTCAAACCAAAAGCGAAACAAAGGCAGGAAGGTGCCCCTGCAGTATACTACAATTAACTACACATATTTCTCCTTGAAATTCTCCCTTCTTGACACCTATGACAGTACTCTGACCTGGCTTTTCATCTTATTCTCTGGTCATATCAGGTACCTCTTCCTCTGCATACTCCTTAAATACCAGTGCCCCTCAGACTTCCATTCTTGAAGAGATGTACCCCTTCCCTTCCAGCCTATTAAACTTTTCAATACCATTTTGAGTTTTCCTCTCCCCATGTTCTTGCTATGTGGTGAGAAAAGGAGGTGGGTGAACACAGGGAAAAGGAGAAGAGAGAACACATTCAATAAGCAAATCAAATTGTTAGATGCAGAAATCCAATGATTTACTACTTACTCCCAAAGCCTGTTGGTTTATTTTGTGCAAAGGCATTGTTTTGGGATGAGAAGAGACTGGTCCCTGTGCTTGCAGTTCCAAACAAGCTGTTTGATGTTCCTGTTGATGTGCCAAACCCAAAGCCACTGCTTGTGGAGGTAGCTGGCTGGCTAAATGAATTGGTACCAAATAAGCCTCCTGAAGAGATAGAGAGGGGAAAAAAAGGGTTAAACAGACTGGAGTCACTAAGTGAAGCCCTATACCAGCTATGAATAAACCAACTGTATTCCAAATAAAGCCCCTACCTGGTTTGGTCTGTGAATTTCCAAACAGGCCTCCGGTATTGTTGCTAGAACCAAATGCAGATGTTCCAAATGCCCCTCCACTAGTAGTGCCAAAACCAGTATCTGATAAAGCAAAATCCAGGGTCAGAATAAAATCTAAACCAGGTGGCCCAATGAAAGAGGATTTTAATATTTCTTAACATTCTGCATTTGAACAGGACCACTGGTCTAATCCAAAAACTATTTTTTCAAAATTCCATCAGACTACTTATAACAGAGCTGATATTAAGCCACACTTTATTCACTGTCCTGGGTAAAGTAAGGAAACAAAGTTAAAAAGCTTATAACTTTTCAATAAGTTAAAGATGTTGATAGGTTTAAAAAAAAAAGTGCCAAGCTACTATGAACTACAGACAAAAATAATCAAAATTTGGGTTTCCTGGTGGCACAGTGGTTAGGAATCCGCCTGCCAATGCAGGGGACACGGGTTCGAGCCCAGTCCAGGAAGATCCCACATGCCGCCGAGCAACTAAACCCGTGGCGCCACAACTACTAAGCCTGCACTCTAGGGCCCGCGAGTCACAACTACGGAAGCCCATGTGCCTAGAGCCCGTGATCTGCAACAAGAGAAGCCACCGCAATGAGAAGCCTGCGCACCGCAACAAAGAGTAGCCCCTGCTCACCGCAACTAGAGAAAGCCCACGCACAGCAACAAAGACCCAACGCAGCCAAAAAACAAAACAAAAAAAAACCAAAAGAAACAAAAAACTGTTAAAAATTTTCTCCAGACACCATACACTCTACAGTCTCTGGGATGAATGGTCCTTAATTAGAGGAGCACATCAGAATGACCTGGGAAGTTTTCAAAATACACATGTTCAACTTCCAATCCCAGAGATTCTAATTCCATAGTTCTATGATGGGATATATGTATTTCGGGAACAAACCTCCAAGAGTGACTCTGAGATAAACAACAAGGTCCTACTGTATAGCACAGGGAACTATTAATGTAGTCAATATCTTATAAAATAAACTATAAGGGGAAAGAATCTGAAAAAATATGTGTGTATAACTGAATCATGCTGCTATACACCAGAAACTAACACAACATTGTAAATCAAGTATATTTCAATAAAAAAAAAATTTTTTTTTTTTAAGTGACTCTGGGGGCTTCCCTGGTGGCGCAATGGTTGAGAATCCACCTGCCAATTCAGGAGACACGGGTTCGATCCCCGGTCTGGGAAGATCCCACATGTCGCAGAGCAACTAAGCCCGTGCGCCACAACTACGGAGGCTGCGCTCTAGAGCCCATAAGCCACAACTACTGAGCCTGTGTGCCACAACTACTGAAGCCCACGCGCCTAGAGCCCGTGCTCCGCAACAAGAGAAGCCACCGCACTGAGAAGCCCATACACGGCAACGAAGAGTAGCCCCTGCTCACCGCTACTAGAGAAAGCCCACACGCAGCTACAAAGACCCAACTCAGCCAAAAATAAATAAATTAATTTAAAAAAAAAAAAAGTGACTCTGGACTTCCCTGGTGGTCCAGTGGTTAAGAATCCACCTGGTGGGCACTCTTGGTTAAAAATCAAGGACCTAGATATATAAAATAGTTTAAGAAAAGGTCAGGGGACACTCGTAAAAATTTTCTCTAATATTTTTGTTAGGAATGATTGAGGTTTGGTAGTTATGCTTTTTAAAAATCTTCATGAATTAAAGTTCCTGGGATTTCCATTAAAAAACTGTTCAGATGCTCCACTTAAAAAGAGAGGGATAGGGCTTCCTTGGTGGCGCAGTGGTTGAGACTCTGCCTGCCGATGTAGGGGACACGGGTTTGTGCCCCAGTCCGGGAAGATCCCACATGCCGCAGAGCGGCTAGGCCTGTGAGCTATGGCCGCTGAGCCTGCACGTCCGGAGCCTGTGCTCCGCAACGGGAGAGGCCCGCGTACCGTTAAAAAAAAAAAAAAAAAAAAAAAAAGAGAGGGATAAAAACAAGATTGGGAAAATGCTGATAGCTGAAACTGGGAAATAAGTACATGAGAGTTCGTTATACCATTCCTTCTGTTTTTAAGTATAAATTTTTAACAAAAAGTTTAAAAGTGAGTAAGGGTTGCTATAGGCAACTAGTGCCATGTGGAATGGAAGGGGAAATGGATCTCAAGAGGGCTGGTGGGAATTAGGGACTCTTACATTTTAACTGTTGTTTCTTATTCACAGAGCAAATCTCAGAGCTGTTATTCAGTAACTGCATTTTATTTTATTTTATTTTTTTGGCCACGCAGCATGAGGGATCTTAGTTCCCTGACCAGGGATCCAACCCAGGCCCCTTGCAGTGGAAGCAGGGCATCTTAACCACTGGACTGCCAGGATGTCCCTCAATAATTGCATTTCATTGTTTTAAAGATTTATTTATTTATTTTTGGCTGTGTTGGGTCTTAGTTGCGGCACACGGGATCATTGCTGCAGCTCGTGGGCTCTTCATTGCAGCAAATGGGCTTCTCTCTAGTTGTGGCGTGCAGGTTCCACAGCATGTGGGCTCTGCAGCTTGTGGCACACAGCCTCTCTAGTTGAGGCGTGCAAGCTCTGGCACGCGGGCTTAGCTGCCCCGCGGCATGTGGGATCTTTGTTCCCTGACCAGGGATCGAACCCGCGTCCCCTGCATTGTAAGGCGGATTCTTTACCACTGGGCCACCAGGGAAGTCCCAATAATTGCATTTTAGACTTCAATATTTAAAAAAGGATTTCCTGGTCTGAAAATTAGTAACAAATTATAAATTTCTGCCAAAAGAGCCAATTAATAACAATACTTTAAATGCCTTCTACTGATGATCAGAAAACCATGAAAACTCAGAACTTATTTCTCTTATTTTTAGAAAATTTTAACAAGATCATATCCTGGTCATTTTTCAAAGTTATTATAAAGACCAAAGCATAAATAAATTCCTATCTAAAACTACTGGAGTGGATTTATTCTTAATAATAGCTTAAGATTTTTCTCCCTTATTTGTTATTTTTTAAAACTTACTCTGCCCAAATGTTGAAGCTGTGCCAAAGCCACCGGTGCCACCCCCAAAGGGTGTTCCAAATGACTTATTAAACATCTTCGAAATCTTCAGAAAGCTGGAAAGAAGAAAAAAATTATCACTTTTTAAAGACCACAGAATGCAATGGAATTTTTTTCAGAAAAATGTATCATTCTACAAATTTAGTTAGGCCTATTCAAACTACAGCATAACGTTCACTCTCATTCAATATCCTAAAACTCTATATGATAAAACAGACTTCGTAAAGTTGAGCTGAAATGAATTAGTACCATAATGTGAAGTTAAACTTCATATCCCACCAGCAACCATCCCTTTAAAACAATGTTTTTCGACCTTTTTGAAAAACCTAAGCCCCCCTTTAATAAAGATTTCAGGTCTACTATACCAGATTTTGGTATGTCCCACGTAGTAAGTTATACAGAATACCCATTAAAAATTACAAGGATATTCTCTTATCCCAACCACCTGAGAAGCTAAAATTTTTGTCAGGCTTTAGTTTCAACAGTTTGCATTGTAAAGTTTCCCCCCCATTTGCTTGTATATAAAATGATGTAATATTGTTCTTCAAACTATACACACCTCCTCCTCCCATCTCTAAATCCCAGAGATTCTGGTGCCCTGACATTCTTTTTGAGATTACTTCTTAACACTACTCTCTATGGTCCCCTGCTTATCTATCTTCTACTTCTTCTGGGAATATTACAGAAAACCTTTGGTCAAAACCCCCACTGCATATGAATGAGTCCCCTCCAGTATCCAAACTATACACCCAGGCACGCTTAATGAATTGGACCAAAGTTCCAACAAGTACAAAAATGAAGTTTGATTTCCCCCACCTAGATCTGAATGAAAACAAGGTAAAGGTATAGTTTACTAAAGAAGTAAACACTTTCCCCCTCTATAAATTTTCCTTAAACTTAGGACATCTGCTACCACTTACCAGCCAGCAGACAAGAAAATAACGAGTAAACTACTTTAAATATGAAAACTCAGAAAATAGTCAATCATGTTTGTTTGGATTTTATAACAGGCATGATGGCTTTTTTATTATTTACACATAATGAAGTGGTTTTTTTCTTCTAGTAAAATCATATGCCTCATTCATATAATAGAATTAAACGTATCAATAACATGTTGAGGTGTGCCCCACCCACAATATTCCAGTGTCCCATTAGCACTTTGGTATTCTAACATCCAAAACATTTTGTGTAACACTGGGGAAAAGGTGAAATAAGAAATGCTTTTTATAGAAAGCAACATTCTGCCCCCTGTGTTCCCCTAGAAAAAAAATTCCAGCACTTAGCTCTTTATCCTAACATCCAGGAATTTAATAACTCCTTCAATTAAACAAAGCTCACTGAAACCAGTGGTTCAAGAAGGCCACATCAGAATTAGATGGCAAGCTTTTCAAAGTACAAGCCTCTAGGCCCCATTCCAGAAGTCAGAAACCAAAATGTCCAGGATTGGGATGTAGACATTTGCATTTTGAAAGGCTCCTCAAATGACTCTAATGCATTCCCTTGGAACTGGAGGCTATATTTCAGGTAATCATCATTTCTCTTTCAGTAATGAGATCTGCTTGAAGTTTCCTGCCTTCCCAATTTATCAGGTGTCACAAAGTGACAGACTGGACCTTTACCATATTAACTGGTGACTCTCCCTTCCAGGGGAAATATTCTTGGAAGTACTATTGTTTTGCTTTTCAACAGTTCATTCAGAATTGACAGTTATGCTAGGGGTCAGATGTCTGGACCAACTCATTTTGATTGTACTCTCTCTCACACTGCAGTCTTGGGTCACAGCCCCAACTAAATCCACTTTATCTGCTGACTAAATTTTTTGACCTGTCACCAGTAAGGTAAAAACTGAGTTGTAATATTGTTATCATGCTAAATCTGCCATTTGTTTTCTTATCTGACCCCACAAATAGCAATCTATTCGTGTAAATCTGACATCTTCCATACAGCTGACATGTCAGGATGCAAAAGCCTAGTTAATAGTTTTTCTCTATGAAATCTGTCCTCATATAGAAGATTTTAGTGTTAATTAGGGTTTCAGTGGCACTAGGTTCTACAGACCAAATCCACAACTTCTAGCAATCAAAATTTGATTTTAAACAGTCTTATCCTAACATAAAAACCTAGTATCACACATATATTCCACAAAGGATTTTAAGTAGTAATAAAATATCCTGAGAAACACCTCACAGTTTACAAGCCCTTATATATTATCTCAACAACCCTAAAAGGATCGTATGGAAACAGGATCAGGTGTTCAGCAAGTTTCCCCAAGGTCAAAGAAGTGATAAGTGGTAGATCCCCAGTTTAACCTCTGAATTACCATGGACACCTTCAATCCTAGGATGGAAGATACTAAGAAACAAGCAAGAACATGTGCCGTATATTAAGGAAATTCATCTGTTCCAGACCCAATAACAAGGACAATACAGGGACCAAATCCAATTTAGACTCCTGGAAAAAAAGCTTCTCACTCAAGCTCAGCCTATCTTTTTGGTTCTGGCAAGGATGAGCCTGGTTTAGCCTCAAGCCTGATCACACTGGGATTCTAAGTGTTTTTAAAAAAAACTATCACCGTGGAAGCCAACCAAGATTTTGGAAACAGCCTCATTATTTTTATCATGATCGTTAGAAATTAAAGAATGGCTAATACATTAAACCCTTTGCTCTTCAAACAAATCAATTTCCTGAATATGCTATGAAATGTCAGTGACTCATGAGAAATGCCCCCCCACCGCCCCTACCAAACAACGTACTAATTCATTCTTCAAAACCTAGTTCAAATGACATCTCTTCTATAAGCCTTCTCAAACTCCCTTTAGCAATTAGTCATTCCTTTGGGCTTCCATGGCACATTATGATTTGTTTACACATATCTATCTTGCCTCTATAATGGACCCGTGATAACACCAACTACACAGATCTCCCTTTGGGACTCAAGGATTTGTTGTCCCAGCTGCTGAGAAGTACTACCGAAAGATTGCCCTCAGCTGTCGGCCCTCTTCAGAACAGCTGAGAGCTGCCTCACCCAAGGTCAGATCATCTCCGGAGGATAGACCATATCCAAAAGCCAGGCACCTTTGCTCCACCTTAGGGTAACTCTGAAGGGTGATCCTAGCTTCATACTCTCCATGGATTGGCTGAGGCCTTCATTAAGATCACAATTCAATTTCTTCCTCAGCTCATTTCTGCTTCCTTCTCTCCCACAGGTGGTGATCCCAAGCTCACTCTCTAATAAAACTCATGCAGGATTATCTCCAAGTCAGTGGCTGCTTCCCAAGGAAGTCAACCTCTCAACCTCCCCCAATGATCCCCTCAATACGTAATTAACTCCTCTAAGGTAGGAATAGTACCATTTGTTTACTATCCCAAAACGTAACAATGGGTCTGAAACATAGATGTACTCATTTTCTAAATTAATGATAATCATCACGAATGTGCCTTTAAAACACAGTCTAAATGATCAAGTTACTTTTTTTTTTTTAATTTATTTATTTGGCTGCACCGGGTCTTAGTTGCAGCATGCGGGATCTAGTTCTTTGACCAGGGATCGAATCGGGGGCCCCCTGCACTGGGAGTATGGAGTCTTATCTGCTGGACCACCAGGGAAGTCCCATGATCAAGTTACTTTAGAAGTACCTTCTAACTTAAAATTATGTTAGATTAATTCTCACAACAAAAGGAAGCCATGAAAGGAAAGATTCTTGGTAGAATTTATCATTTAATTCAGAGGTTGCTAAAGGGAAGAGATCACACAATGGCTGGATACAACCACCAGACACTTCTTTGGCCTGTTATATATACATACACACACATACACACGGTATATTATACACATACAAATGTATGTATTTTGAAATGTTTATGTATATATATATATTGTCAATCTAGCTGATAACATTTAAAATAGGGATATGTCAGAAAAATGATTAAGCAGACTAGGACTATAATCACTTCATGGCAGTAAGAGTCTGGAGCTTAGTAGGAACTGTCTCTTTTGGTCATAGCCATACTCTCTAATGTGACACAATACCCACCCAGTATCATTCATCTCCATCAGCTGCCTGGCCCCAACAGGTTTTGAGTTTGTAACTTCTGATATAATCAGAGAAAGAACCCACACATTAAGAACTCAAAGAGCATGTAATTGCCAAGAAGTAAGAAGTCAAAATTAGGTAGGAAAATGGGCGAGAACTGTGAGGAAAAATTCCTGATGATTTAGAATGTGAACTAGGTCTTAAGGGATTAGAAAGAGAAGAGAGGGAAAGCATAAGAAAGGTACACAGGTAAGAATGGGTTATTTGTGTACCTCTCCTATCTGGCCTTGTATCTCAACACCAAGCCCAGTTTCCCTCATATGATAAACATATAATAAATGTACTTAACAGTTTATTATGTAGTGATGTCATTAACATTAAATTACCCAATTAAAGGAGTGAATCAGAGCATTCTGCTAAGTATGTACCCAGAATACGGTGTATCAAGAGTAAGGCACCACCAGAACATTTGAACAAAGTTACCCTATGAGAATTATTCCAAGTAAAAGATGTTTAATGAAAAAAAGGAAGTTGAAAAAGATACATTTGGCAGATTCTTTCTGTAAAATAGACAAGGTAATACACTGTTATTTATGGATACATATATACATAGTAAAAGTAAAAGAGGGAGACTAGTTACTAAAATAGATGAAGGTGGTTGCCTCTGGGGAGAGGAAGGGAAATGAGGCATGGGGCAGAGATTCAGAGGACCCAAACTTTTCTGTAATGTTTACTTCCTCTATTAACAATAACAAAAGATCTAGAGGATGCAGATATTTGCACTAACTCTCTATTTCCATTAAAAAATCTATTCAAAAAAGAAGTAATCCTAGAGACTGAAATGTGTGGAACTTCTAAATTCATTCAAGTTTAAAGGAATAGCACATATTCAAGTCTTTATCCTTTCAAATACATTAACCTGGCCCAAACTAAAACCCTCCTAGAGTAAATAATACTAGCTAATACTTAAGTTCCTACTGTGTCCCAAGGGCTGTTCTAAGTGCTTTTTAAAAAAATTCTAT